TCATAAATATAAAGGGAAGGGTAAACCCCTTTAAAATCCCTCCTGGCCAGAGAAAAAAATCCTCTCACCTGTAAAGGGTTAAGAAGCTAAAGGTAACCTCGTTGGCACCTGACCAAAATGACCAATGAGGAGACAAGATACTTTCAAAAGCTGGGAGGAGGGAGAGAAACAAAGGATCTGTCTGTCTGTCTGTATGCTGCTTTGCCGGGGATAGACCAGGAATGGAGTCTTAGAACTTTTAGTAAGTAATCTAGCTAGGTATGCGTTAGATTATGATTTCTTTAAATGGCTGAGAAAAGAATTGTGCTGAATAGAATAACTATTTCTGTCTGTGTATCTTTTTATAACTTAAGGTTTTGTCTAGAGGGGTTCTCTATGTTTTGAATCTAATTACCCTGTAAGGTATCTACCATCCTGATGTTACAGGGGGGATTTCTTTACTTCTATTTACTTCTATCTCTATTAAAAGTCTTCTTGTAAGAAACTGAATGCTTTTTCATTGTTCTGATCCAAGGGTTTGGGTATGTGGTCACCTATGTAAATTGGTGAGGCTTTTTATCCAACATTCCCCAGGAAAGGGGGGGTGCAAGTGCTGGGAGGATTGTTCATTGTTCTTAAGATCCAAGGGTCTGGGTCTGTAGTCACCTAGGCAAATTGGTGAGGCTTTTTACCAAACCTTGTCCAGGAAGTGGGGTGCAAGGTTTTGGGAAATATTTTGGGGGGAAAGACGTTTCCAAACAGCTCTTCCCCAGTAACCAGTATTGGTTTGGTGGTGGTAGCAGCCAATCCAAGGACAAAGGGTGGAATATTTTGTACCTTGGGGAAGTTTTGACCTAAGCTGGTAAAGATAAGCTTAGGATGTTTTTCATGCAGGTCCCCACATCTGTACCCTAGAGTTCAGAGTGGGGAAGGAATCTTGACAGCCCCTTTGCTATGTACATCGGCCAAACTGGACAGTGCCTCCGTAAAAGGATAAATGGACACAAATCAGATATTAGGAATGGCAATATATAAAAACCTGTAGGAGAACACTTCAACCTCCCTGGACACACGATTGCAGATTTAAAGGTAGCCATCCTGCAGCAAAAAAACTTCAGGATCAGACTTCAAAGAGAAACTGCGGAGCTTCAGTTCATTTGCAAATTTGGCACCATCAGCTCAGGCTTAAACAAAGACTGTGACTGGCTAGCCAACTACAAAAGCAGTTTCTCCTCCCTTGGTGTTTACACCTCAACTGCTAGAAGAGGGCCTCATCCTCCCTGATTGAACTAACCTCGTTATCCCTAGCCTGATTCTTGCTTGCATATTTATACCTGCCTCTGGAAATTTCCACTACATGCATCCGACAAGGTGGGTATTCACTCATGAAAGCGTATGCTCCAATAAATCTGTTAGTCTATAAGGTGCCACAGGACTCTTTGCATGAGAAACTTGTTTTTTTAAAAGCGGCAAACATTACAACTTGTTTCTAACCACATCTCAGTCATGCCAGTATGTGGAATCCATATATATTTATATAGCTTATAGTATGCTGAATGCAATTCAGGGAGTAAAGGACTTGGAGTCTATCACTTCCTCCTGGTTTTCCAACCATCTGTGCTAAGTTTCACACTACATGTTAAACTGTGCTTTGTAGCTCCTCTAGTCATTTTGACTCAAAATTCAGCGGAGCTTACTGAAATGTTCCAATTGTACAAGGAACTTTCATCTATGTACTGGGCTAAAACTTTTATTGCACTCACCTTGAGGTATCTGTAGCGAGGGTGGTATGCACCATTTTGGTAGTTTAAATGTGCATTTTAAGTTAAATGAATTTTCTGCCTGTTCCCAGACCACAAACACACACAGTACTTGTTTATGTGTTAAGTCATGCGTTAAGAGAGTCATTTTCTAAGAAAAGCCAACTTTTGGGTCCCTCAATTTCCTTTGCAGTCTCAAACTGAAGATGGGATTTCCTGCTGTAAGCAAATTTCTCATTGTAGAGAGAGCAGAGTAAGGATCAGCATGCTCTCTGCTGGCCTGTTTAAGAACACACCCACCTGCTAGGGCTTCATGAGGGGTGAAAGGTGATCTGTCCTTTCTCTTCATCCCAATAGTATAATCAGGATAGAAAAAGCAGAGACAAGGAGAGGTACAGAAGCAGAGGAAGAGTGAATGAGGGATGAAGTCCCTTCTTCCTCTTTAGGGAGTCTCAAAATCTTAAAGCCAATCCTATCTCTATACCAGACTGCAGTTTTTTTAGCAATGGTTCAGTAAACAACTGTCTGCACCAGGGTCTGTCAGATCCCAAGATAGCATCTGCTGCACCATGAATCATATAGCATAATAGAAAGTCACTGGAATTGTCAAAGTATCATCCTCGCCACTATCATTTAATATGAAGAGGACCCTTATTCTGTGACAGAGGCATATTCTGCTTATGTTATTGCTACATTGCAAGTTAATTATAAAAGTACAAAATTATAAAACAGATAATTTAGCAGGTAACAGTGCATAAATCCACTGTATAAAAGTAGTCATAAATCTGTAAAGAAATCTTCTACTAGTCTTAATCATTTTCCAATTTTACCCTCTCTGGATGATGAGAAATATTTTGCATAGTTTTTCTTAATACCCATGTAAAAATACCCAACACAGAACACAGTGGTTTTTTTAACCTGTAAGGTGTTGCTGCATCATAATCATACACATTTTATACTTCTTAGTGGCAGAAAAGCCTAAGCTATTTTCTGCATATAGCACCCAGCTTTCATCAGCCAGTTCTCTGGATACATGTGAGGTATAACAGTGTTCTTGGTCATGGTCATCGTCTCCAGTCTTCAAAGGTAGGTGTTAAAAATCTGCTGTCATTCAGCGTTTCATCTTGGCTTAGCATATCCTGAAAGTAAACAGTATATAGACCAGTAAGAAGTATGTTCAGTTAGATGTGTATAGCAATGGCAAAGCAATCCAACTGTAATTAGATCTGATTCATGACAGCAGGAATTTACTGTCTTGATGTAGCTTATTTGATGATATAAATATTTCAGGCATTATAGGCCACCTGATTATATGTAACATAGTGGGATGATCCGCATCAGTGAGTCTCACAGGTGCGTGACATAGTGGATAAAAATACTTTCATGTTACATGACCATCCATTTTGCTTTCCAGTGAATGAGTTAATCTACTTAAAGCAGCTGCACCAATGCAGCCATTAATTTTACACGTTATGCGATTCTATATGTTAGATACAGAATCAAATCAATCAAATCAAATAAGCAAATCAAATAAATCAAATCAAATAATCAATTGCTAATTTATTTACTTTTCAATTTTTCAATTGTTTTTTATCAGGTATAGACACTAATTTACTGTGGGCAAAACTCACCCATTTTCAGAGGGTGAGCAGAATAAGTGGAGACTATGCACCACTTAAGTTCAACTTTGGCCATCCACTATGAATAGAGGACTGACAACTTATTTAAAAATAAAGATTTTCTGAAGTATGGATATGTAAGTAGGCTGTAAATAAGGAGTCTATAACATGAACACTGGAACACTTCCTCTAGAGGACTGCTGGTCCTTTAACTTTCACTGCATTCTAGCAGGATAAGTTTGTGACTTTACAGCAAGTATAAATTGGTACATACCGTGAGGTTGCTTATGCCTTGAGAGAGCACCCCTATTTGCATTACTGTTCCTTCTGAATGTTCCATCTGTAAAATCAGTCAGTAACTAGATCAAATCAGACAGTAACTACAATTTTATCCAGACTCTACATGCATCTTTTGGAGGAGATTCTGCCTTGAGAAAAACAAAATCTCACCATGATGAATTACTACACTTTGAAATGTGCTAAAAATGAGTTCTCAAAGTTATACGGAAATAAATATACATATTGTACATAACACCTCACACATCAAAAGAAAAAAAATACTCTTATGCCAGCATAATGCAGTGAAAATGCAGTGATGATAGGAAGATCAATTTCTGATGAGAACAAGGCATTCTTTAATCCTTCAGTACAAATATTACACACGCTAGCGAATTTAAGAATTCATCCGTTTGCTCTCATGAATTATAGTGCCGTGTGTTGCAGTAATATTTTCTAGAAGTCAAAAGCATTCAAGATGCATTCAATAACGCATGTGGTGCATTCCTACTAGGCAGGTAATACAAGTACTCTTATTGATCTTAAAAAAGGATATAAATTGTTTGAGCCCATCAGGTGGCCTAAAATGTAAAGGGGGTTCAGTCGTGGTTCATTTAAAGTATGAATTTCTCACTGTACAAATGTGTAAATATATTGTGTTCACTTCCAGGTCATTTTTTTAGCTGGAAGATGGACTGTCATTAAATTTTTTTAATATTCAAAATATTTTGTAACAGTTGTATTTAGTCATTTAAAATGGGGTCCAGAATGGTGGAATATTAAAGTTAAATCAAATCCATACTGCTTCAGTAAACTCTATCTACTGGAGCACGGGCAGCAGTTGTTTACAAAATAGTGGAGTTATTTTCAGTTTTTCAATTGTTTTTTTAATTAGATATACACACTAATTTACTGTGGGCAAAAGTTACCCCGTTCAGACGGTGAGCAGAATCAGTGGAGACTATGCACCACTTAGATGCTGCATTTACCTTGTAACTGGACATTTCCTTTCAGTAAACATGTCGAGCATCAAACTACAGTACATTCCCGACAGATACTGACAGCGCTCAACTCTGTTGGGATTTGGTCCTCTCATTTCTTTAACATAGTATTGTTAATCTTATTTAACACTAACACAGGAGCCACTATATGTGAAATATATCACCCTTTTATTGCTAAAACACATGCTAAAACATTTTTGTTAACGGGGTCCTCTAAATAACACAGCACAGACTTATACCAGAAAAGACAGTGGTTAGGTAATGAGCACAAATGATGTGTTAGATGCAGTAAACCATGCAAATGAAAAATGAATTATCAGTCATATCAATTTTGTGATCATTCTCTTATCTGGTTTCTCACTTAGGAGAATTATTTAATCTGGCTTCTCTCGGGGACAGTCTGAGCTAATGCAAGTTGTCATAGCTCTACGGAAGTCACTGGAGCGATGATAATTTACACCAGCAGAGGATCTGCCCCTATCTGGCTCTCGTGCACTACAGAAGCTCTCACAACGTCCAACAGCTCCCTTTTTCAGGGTTTGAAGTACTTTACACAGACTTTGTCAGGAAGGAGGCTGGATAGAGTTTTTATGGAAACCTACTGTTTGTGTGTGATGTGTAAACTAAATTCCATTACAGAGAGAAAGTGATCACTACATATGTAACAAAATGGAAGTATTCTTTTATTGTCTAATTGATAATGTTCATGTGTTTATATGCTTAAGCATAATTATTTCATAAAGTATGTAATACATTTACATGGTGCAAATGATGCACTCTTCAGTTTAACGTCTTAAAATATACAATCCAGTTGTACTTACGAGAATAAAATACAAATTGATACCTCTGTACAAACTGATCTGAATAAGATTTTATTACATTACAAACCACTTATAAAGATAAAATTTCTCTGTGCAGTACTCATGGATTATGTAATTAAAAGTACAAAAAAAATTTGGTGTTTCTGCTATAACCCCAAATTTAACAGTCCAATACATTAACCTTCTTAGTGTAAAGGTTTGATGTACCTGAAAAAGGGCTTGAAGATAGATGGGTTTACGCTTACAAAGATAAAAATATAATTCATCTGACATTCTCAGTATAAAACTCTTCAAAAGCATCCACAGCCCATACGTACGTTCTCAATAAGTTCATGCGGATGTAGCAGAGACTTTGTTATATGGTAACAAAAGGTTATTGGCAAGCTTTGGAATGCATGTAGAGGATGAGAGATGAGAATGACATCAATCTATTTGTCCCACCTGATCCAGTTTGTCCAATTCCCTATCAGTGAGTTGATTAAGTCCTTTGTATCCACCATAGCTCTTCTGAGTACCATTAGTTGCACCTGGACTTGTGTCCATGGGACAAATGTAATCTGTAGATTCATCAAATTTCTTTTTTCTTAGGTTTCCAAAATGTGAAAATCCAAGTTTCTTTGGCTAAAATAATGAAATATAAAGTTTTACATAAGAGAAACAACTGGTCTAAAATGTAAAGTTACAATTTTGTACATGCCAACAATGCACAAATCTTGACTGAAGTCTACAAACTAGAAAAATGCAGCTTTAATCATCCCTCCTTGTAGGTTTGTTACTAAAGGATATAATAGCAGAACACTGTGCTGAGATTAACACCCCTCGATTATCTTTGCTAGCTATACTACAGTACATTTACTAGGATCATGATGAATTCTCACAGTTGAACAAGTGTGTTTTGTGACAGTTTTTTAAAATCATGGTTGTCTGTATATTTGCTAATTCACGAAAAATCTCCCCCCCCATTGGCGTGATTTAGTAGGGTTTGACCATAGCTCAGATTAATTGACTTCGCTGGTCATACAGTTGCCAACTGAAAACATCATATGTTAAACTATTATTTAAAGTTACAATTCATGTGTCTATAGTTACCCAGGTGCTTAAGTACTTTGCTGAGTCAAAGCCACAAGTGTAGGCTTCAGTACTTCTCTCAACAAGGATGGTCTTAAGCTGGGGTCATAGGTAGCAAGCATAGCACTTACCTGTCTGAGAGACTCCATTGAAATCAATACAAAAATGAAGTCACTAGTGCATAAGTATCCGCAAGATCAGGTCTACAAACAGCCCTCGCTCTATTTTTGGCTTCAATTAGAGTTGATGTATATGTTCTGCAAATCCTAACACTGTATTAGGCCACTGGGAAAAGCTCTGATTTAACAGATACCATTTGTATACTTGGCATCAAACATACTGTAGGAGCTCAAAAGAAGAGGATTTTAAATTTTCAACGCTATTCAGTTCAGAAACTTTTTTATGAAACTTGGTTAAATCTTTAAAACTGGGAACAGTTATTGATAAAAATCAATATTTTGTTTTGGATTGCGTTTCCTTTGAATAAAAGGTATTGATATTGCATGTTTATTTCTTTAGTAAATTATGATGGGTTTGTGCTGAATCTCTGTGTATTAAGAATATCAAAGAAGACTAAAATTAAGAATAACTAAAATGTAACCTTAGTGGGAACTGGCCTCCCCCACTTCCCAGAGTTGGCCCCTTAGTTTGTAAGAAAAGCAAACTGAACTACACTGAGAGATCCTAGAATTCAGAGTGGCATACCCGAACTTTAGCAGTGGTAGTCAGAGGTGTGTAAGCTGTAGATTCCATTATTTCTCTTTTTTCTTGTTGTGCTTCTGGCCCAATTAACACATTAAAGTTAGTGGTCAGGTGCCGTCTCAGGAGGGTCTTTTGAGGTGGAATGTTAAGAAGCATTGCCAGTGTGTCACCATTAAAGCGAGGTTCAAGAATCTATTAAGAACACCACAAAAATTATGCTTTATGTAGACAAACCTCTACAACATCAAACATATTTAAAAAAAGTAGTCATCCTATAATGCTGATCTGTATGTTCTTAATAATTACGTTTCTGTCAGACACTATCAGAGAAATAAATAAAAGTCTCACTCATTCTTGAGTAACTAGTGTAAGTGACAGGAGTCACCTGAAAAAACTTTCCAAATGCCTTTAACTAAACAACATTATGTCAGTATTTGCAGTGCTCTTTAGCTATTTCCTGTATTAACATATAGAGAAGTTAGGAAATACTTGTGGTAATTTTATGTTGCAAAGAAAGTGAAACAAAAGCCCTAAACATTTGTAAAGGCAACTCACTGTACTCAAAGTGCCCTTATTTTACTTAAGGGTACATCTACACTGTGTTTTAAAACCCACAGCTATGGTCATTCAGGATCAGGCTGGAGCACTGCTGGTTCCAACACCGTAGCATGATCCCAAGGCTGTAGACCCAGGCTCGAAGATTTGCTGCCGTGGGTTTTAAAACACAGTGTAGATGTACCCTAGCTGCTTGTCATCTTAACTCCCAAGTCTAAACAATTCCTGATTGTTGCAAAGGTGCCACAGCTCAGCGACCCAGGGAAATTCTTTATCTGTGACCAGCCTCTGTCTCATAAGTTCACTTTATTTCTTTGAACAGCTCTGGTGATGTTTTATCAATAAGTTGTTAAAGTAATTTCCACTGTATAATTTCTTTTCTGTAGCCCAGCACCTCCCACAGTTCTGGACATCTGGGCTGCTCCCCCCTCTGCAGTGCAGAGATGCATAAAAGTCTTGGCACTACTCATTCTGGCTACATCCCCTCTGTGGCAGCATGTGAATGGTGGTTCTGTTGCTGCCACCTATTTTCCTCTTTTCGGGGTTTTTGGGGGCAAGGGTGAGCAGTTTTCCCTCCCTAGTCTCTCTCATCCCGGGGTTGGCTTACAGTCAGGTGACTTAACTCACCTTGAGCTCTGCTACCATGCCTCTCTGCTGGCTTCTCTGCACTGCTCAGATGTGATGGAGCAGCCCGAAAAGCATAGGGCAAAATCTAAACAACGCCCCATCTGTGAAATTGGCTTGGAAGACTGTGAACTGTACCCAGCTTTCTGGCCCGAACTCTGTTAGGTCCTGGGGCCATGAGTCAAAGAGGGATGTGCGGGCGACTTCAACATGGAAAAAGCAGACCGGGAGTCTCTGAACAAAGCAGGGAGAGGCTGTAAAGATGAGGACAATGCCAGTCAGTCAACTCAGGATGCAAGTCCCAAGGGGAGACTTCTCCCCACCCCAAGTCTTAAAGTGGGTCCTGAGTGACCTGGGAAAAGAAGTCAGGCTCATAAACAGTACCCTCCTTCCCAATTTCTAGTGTCATATCCCCTCCCCACTCCCTGGAGGAATAGACTCAGCCAGGGAGGGCTCTGGGGGTACATCTATGCAGTGAAACTCCCTCCACAGCAGCAAATCTCAGAGTCTGGTTCAACTGAATTGGGCTTGCGTAGCTCACATTCTGGGCTAAAAATAGCTGTATACTTACTCCGGCTTGGGTTGGAGCCCAGGCTCTGAAACCCAGCGTGGGGGGAGGGTCTTAGAGCCTAGACTCCAGCCCAAGCCCGAACCCCTAGCCTAGACAGCAGTTGTGAGCCCTAGTCAGTTGACATGGGCTTGGAGACTCACTGCCACAGGGCTTTGCACTCAAAGTTCTCTTGAGAGGGCTTTAGCCCTAAGGATAGCTGCCTACCAAAGGTCTCACCCAAAGCCACAAGAAGAGCACCTGTGCTCTCAATGCATGCAAATACATAAAGGGAAAAAGGGGCGGGGGGAAGTACACAAGATCCATCAGGTCCTCTGACTTTTTCTCCCCCGTCTCCTACAACCCTGTAACTCACAATCTGCTACAGAAAACGATCTCTCTCCCTCCCATATCTAAAAGATGAGAACACTTCCCCAGAAGAAAGATTCTTTAGGGTTTTACTCCACCGTCTTCAAAAATGCAAGGGGGGAATCCAAGCCATATTGACCTCAAAAGGCTCAAGTGGATGGAGAGCCTGGCCTCTACTGTATCATCCCTGTCCCACGAGGATATTCTGACTTCAGTGGATCTGGCAGATGCATACCTCGAAAGTTCCTATCAGACCGTGTCCTCACAGATGTCTAAGGTTCTCTTACAGCAGGAAGCATTATCAGTACTGGATGCTTCCATTTGGCCTGTCCTCTTACACTAGGGTCTTTACCAAGATGTTTGTGGTACTGCTAGCCAGGCTTAGGTCCAAGGGTATACATCTGTGTCCCCTTCCTGGACATCTTGAACAGAGCTCCATCCCAGGCGCATGGGTTTGTTATCAATGTCAAGAAAAGCTCCTTGACCTAGTCTACCAAAACAGCTCATCTAGGAGTAGACACACACACCTCAATAGCAAAGATCTACCCACCTCTAGAAAGGTTCCAAAGATTCAGGACCTTCTCACGTTGTTCCCGAGCTGCAAGAGGCCTACCCTAGCACTGGACCTTCAATAACTAGGCCTCCTAGGGCCGTGCGCAGGGATCACTCCATGGCCACAATCACACATCAGGCATCTTCAAGGTTTCATCTTAAAGGTGTGGGCCACTCCCCAGAACACATGAAGGACTGCATAAAGGTCCTGCTGCTAATGCTCAGCTCCTTAAAATGGTCGTTAGCCCAGGGCAATATCTGCAATGCTATGCCCATGTGTCTTCCAGATCCGCTGGTTCTCATAACTGATGCCAACCTGGAGAGCTGAGGAGCACACTTGGGAGTCCCAAACCACTTAAAGCAGCTGGAGCGCAGCGGAAAGGGGTTACAACATAAACCTCCTAAGGCTAAGAGCAGTCAAGCTGTAGCTGCCATGGTTCCAATCCAGTGTAGAGGAGAAACATGTTCTGATTCAGTCAGACAACACAAAAATGGTCGTGTACGTGAACAACCAAAGCGAAACAAGGAGCCCTGACCAGGGCTTTGGAGCTGTGCTCCGGCTCTGCTCCAGCTCCAGG